TTACTCACATAACAGGAATTCCATACAATCCACAGGGACAAGGCATAGTTGAAAGAGCTCATCAAACTATTAAAATGTACTTATTAAAACAAAAGGAGGGAATTGGAAAGGGATATATATCCCCCAAAGATAAACTTAAAATAACCCTTTTTACTCTAAACTTTTTAAATTTGGATTCATCAGGGCTTAGTGCTGCGGAAAGACATTTGTATCCAAAAAATGTACATAAGCCTAAGGTACTTTGGAAGGATATTCTAACAGGACAATGGAAAGGTCCTGACCCAGTGATTGTCTCGAGTTGGGGCTCTGTTTGTGTGTTTCCACAGGGAGAACAACAGCCGATTTGGATTCCAGAGAGATTAACCAAAACAATTTCTACAGACCAAAAGGAAGACGATTTGACTCAAATCCACAACAGCTGATGTCCAGAACTCCAGCTTGGCTATTCTTACATCCGCGACAGTGACTAACCAGGATGCTTTTTTCAATATCTATTTTATTATTGCTTTTTCCCACATCATAAAGTTCTATTTTATTTTTAAGCTCATACAGACCTAGGTTAATGTTTTTCTGATCAGTTTTATTTTTTGACTGTGGAGTTTTTAAACATTGCAATGGAGATTTCAACTATGTAAAGCTACAGGCCTTTACTATTGTCTTATGTGTTGTATGTTACGTGTGCACACTTCTGTTTTGTGTTGTATGTCTGTATGTGCATATGTCCATATATCATATATGAGGAGCGCTCATAAATAAATGGATCCGAATTTATTTTTTTTATTATTCACGTGATTTTAATGGTTTAAATTGGGTAAACAGCTGTTGAGGATTGTTTTAAAATGTGTACAAATAAGCAGGGTAACAGATCTGTTTGTTTACTTTCACCTTTCCTTTTCATTATATTTAATAATTCTGTTCAGGATAATGTAAATTGTTCAAAAATTGTTTTCTTAGTACCTGTTGGAATATTACATAATTTTTTTTTTTTTTTTTATCATTGTCAGAATTCCTATCTTCATCCCAGTGCCGGTGAAGACAAAGATGAAACCAAACTACAGTTTCTTCGATAGTTATCACAACAAACTGTATAAACTGATGCATCTATGAATAATAACTCAACAAGTAACGCTCAATCAATGAGTCGATTTATTTTGGGAGGAAATGGACATATTGATAGATTCCTCCGCTTTGAACTGCTTACAGAACTTGCCTGGACTATGTATCACTTGTATGCATTGTGATCTATCTGTTGATGCAGCGAATTATGGTAGTGCTGGCGTATCTTTGCTGATGTGTCACCAGTGATGCAATTTTTCCTAAGGAGCCGTCAACTGACTTGGTGTTGTGGCATTTCTGTTTCCTCCTCCCTTCTACTAGTGACGGTCTAATTTTGGGGGCCAACAGAGGTGAGGCAAAGAACCTCACCCCCCCACTGGTGCATAGGCCTATCCACAAGTATGGCTATATGCTGGACCGGTAGTCAGTGACAGGTATGATCCAATTGCAGTGGTATCAACCTAAGACAGGAGGCTGATGCCTAGAGGTCAGTTCATCCCATGACGGGTAAGAACCTTATGTTGAATTGGACAAACCTAATAGGCATGGTCCCTAGCCACATTGCTTGTTGCTTAATTAAACAGAAGGGGGGAGATGCTAAGAGCCAGAGCCAAGTAATATGATGCATGGCATTTTTGGTTGAAAGGTGATGCCAGCAAGCCATTGAGATGATATGATTATGTTAAGATTTGCATTCATATGGATATTGGACTCCTGCTGTCCACCTCGGCCTGCTACGGGACTCCTGGAGAGTTCCCATTGGTTGGGGAAGTGCGGTAGGAGGGAATTCCGGAGGAGGAACTTCCTCTTGGGTTCCGGGGATCCGGGAGAAAGCCGCGTGGGTCGATCAGCAATCTTCCCGGGAACTTACGGGGCATTGGCGGCAGTTTCAAAAAATAAAGTTTGTTCCTGCTTGAGTGGCTCGTGATTTTGTGCCCAGCCAGACTGCGGCATCCAACAAACATTCACATCCATTATAAAAAGAATAGAGGTAAGAGGCTAATTGGAGTTATTTAGGTAGCTTTTCCTTCTTCTGAAAAGATAAGCCTACAGCTTTTTAAGCTCTTAGTATCAGTTTATATATTTAGAAGTCCTGGGTTCATAGAATGTGTGTAAGGAACAGGGGAAAAACTAATTTTATATCAAGAAGGCCATGAAAATATAATATTGATAGGAAAATATTTAAACCCATAGTTGTAAAAAAGCAGGTGTGTGTACTTTTGGAGAAAAATGTCAAATACATGGTTTAGTAAAAGGACAGAAGGAAGTCAAAACTTCTTTACTGCTCCTCTTGTTTCTAATGTTTGGCTATTATCCTCCAATGTTCCCAATCAGCATATTACAACAAAGTTATACCCTCAAGGTTGTATATAAAGACAATACATGAAATGACCTATGACTTTCAGGTAGACAATGATCTACTGTATTAACCACAAGTTCTTTGGGAGCACATTTTCTAAATGTTATGAAGTCATAATTACTTTTTTCTCTTCATATAAAATGCCTCATTACAATCTGAACAATATCTGGTGTTCTAATATGCCAAGAGAATAATTCTACTGAAAAAAATGAAATGTAAATCTGACAGAATCTGTTCTTGGTAAACCTATACTGGCTTCTCCTCTTACACACACACACACACACACACACACACACTCTCTCTCTCTCTCTCTCTCTCTCTCTCTCTCTATTTTCTGCTCAGAAGCAATAAACTCAGAAGTCCGTAATTTCTAGAAGTCCCTCCCCTGAGCATTCCTAAGGAGTTACTAGAATGTCATTCAGATTTTCTAAGCACATTAACTCATCTGTTTTAAGTCAGAGGCTGCATGTCAAATATTCATGGGCCCCAGCAGACAACAGAAATAAGGGAATGTAACAAATTATTTAAGAAGGAAGAAGAGAACTTATACCAGGACTGAAGGGGCAGTGATCATTTGGCTCCAGCCAAGTTGTTACCATGTTGGACTCCCATCAGTGTTACAGAGCTTTTCAATTTTTCAAGAAAATAAAAATATGAAACATATTTCAATGGGAAATCTCCTTGTTTTTAAGTGTCAGTAATTACTTTTAGAAGATATCACACTGGGCCAAAACATATCAATGGGCAGAATTCTCTGAGTCTAGTTATAATTCCTTGTTCTAAGGTTAATAATCCATTTAGGAGTTTGTTAATGGGGAGGTAGTGCAAAGACAAGAGTTAAGTCAGAAGGGGGGTTCCAATCCCCTCTTGCAATATTTATTTTTATTCATTCCAGTCTAAATATTATCTTCCTTGATTCAGAGAACAAAAGTTAAATAAGACCAGAGTGATTACAAACTTACAAGACAGATGGGGCTGGGGTTGTAGCTTAGCCGTAGAGCGCTCACCTAAAACGTTCGAGGCCCTGGATTCGACCCTCAACACCAAATAAAAATAAATAAAATAAAGGTATTGTGTCCAACTACAATTAAAAATAAAAATAAAAAAATTACAAGACAGAAAAAAAATGTAAGATACTCTTTATTGTTCCTGCTATATAAATAACGTTGCAAAAAACACAAGATTTTTCCTCTTACCCTTTTCCGAGTATACAATATCCACACAACATAAAATAGTATGCAGTATTTGTCTCTAGATACAAGACAGCTTCACTTAAAAATCTAAAAAAAATTTTCAAGCCCTGACACTCCCTCTTCTCTCTATCTTAGCTAAGACACAAATTACAAATGAAGCCAGGCATGATGGCACAGACCTATAATTCCTCAGTAATTCCAGAGGCTGAGGCAGGATGATGCCAAATCCCAGGCCAGTCTAGGCTATTTAGTGATACCTGTCTCAAAAGCAAAATAAAAAAGGCTGGCAATGTAGCTCACAGATAACAAGCCCCTGGGTTAATCCCCAGTACCACACACACTCATACACACGAAACAAATCATAAATGATCACTTTGTTAAATAAACTTTAGCCACATTTCCCATTCTTTTGAGCCATTTTTCCTTTTTGGAATTATAATCAATGGAATCTCTTTCTTATTTTTTTGTATTTGTTCATTGTTTTCTTTGAGAAAGCGACATACTTACACAATGCCTTCTCATTGTTTGCAATTATTTCCTAGAATTTTGAAATAGTTATGAAAATGTAACAACTATTCCCTGGGTGTAAAATACTTAGGACAGTAAAATAAAGTGACAAGCCATACTTGTATGTTCCTACAATGGCCATTATACACTTGTCCATAACCACAGAATGTGCAATAGTAAGACTGAATTCATACTAAACCACAGGCTCTGGATGATAATGGTGTGTTAACACAAGCTCACAGATTGTAATAAATGTCCCAAACTATTGTGGGGTGTTGGTAGTGAAGGAGGCTAGAGGTATGAGATGAAGGAAAAGGAAAACTATTTTTTGCTCAATTTTTCTATGGATATAAAATTGCTCTGAAAAAAACAGTCCATTTAAAAGGAAGAAAAAGAAAAGGAAAACAAAAAACTTAAACCAAGTTAAATCCCAATGGTAAAAAAACAGGAACTAACTTTTGAGTTTCTCGTGTGACTTATGCAACAGGGTATCTCTACACACTAAGAAGGAGTGCTCAAACCAGGCCAGAAGAATTTCATAACTATGCTCATGTACAAGGCAATCATAACACTCTACTTTGTGTTAAACCCAAAACAGACAGGGCAGCCAGGCTTTGGAGTTACATACATCAGCACTTAGAGGCAAATATTAGTAGGGAGAATTCAGTGTCCAATCAAAAATATTCCTAATTTCTCTTGTTCTCAGAAAACATGATATGAACATTTAGATCCTTTTATGTCTTCTATCTTGGCAGTCTTATATGCCTTTGCTCTTGTCCAGTAGAGAATATTAACAAGATATTACAGGATGAAAACCAAGTTTAGACATTTCTTAAATTTATTGAATTCTTACTTGGGAGAGGAAAAAAAAAATCACAGGCTTAAACAACTGTAAGATAAAAGAACAAATAATTGCAAATTATTACAAAAGTAATTTCTGAAACATTTTTTTTTAGCTACTGCTAACAAAATTTTAGTGCATCTTAAAGTTTATATTTTGATAAGCAAACATTAAATTACTGAAGAGGGAAAAAAAGTTACAATTAAACAGTACAAGATTATAATGTAGTAACTGAGCACAGCCAAATAAACAGCTATAATTATTCAAGGCTGCTTTTGCTATATATCTAGTAATTAAACAAGAATGTGGATTATTTTAACACTGCACAGTTAACCAAAGTTAGCAAATTCAGCAATATTAAAACTGGGCATTAAATAGTATTCAACATTACAACAGAAACAAAATGAGAACTTCTAGAATCACAACTCTATTCATATGAAAGGAATGTACATGGATGGTAAACAAATAAATAAATAAAGTGACAAGAGTGACTAACACTGCATCTGCATCTTCACAGCAGGAATACAGTAAATGAGTAAATGCTCACAGGGATTTTGCTGAAAATGAGAAAAAATACATTTCACTCTGCAGTACAATTTTTCTAATTTCTCCTGTTGCTCTAATTCTCTTGTGCTGATGACAGGTGGACAGGGTTTTTAAAGGAAAGTATTTTTCCTACCCTGAGTATGGATGCATCACATTTTAAAAAAATTCTGTGTAAAGTTTTCTTTGAAAAACATAAAATGTAAAGTGATATACTGCTGGGAAACTGATGATATTAAGTGGAATAATATTATCTAAATAATTAAGCAGACATTTGAATCTGGACTCTGATGATGAATGAAGATTACACTTGGCATTTAAGAAATATGCCCTAACATCAAAGTCACCTAATGTCAAATGGGCAAACTATCTTTCACTTTATACATGGTGCACTTAATAGGGAATTAAATTCTCCTAACAGCAACATAAAACCCATATGTAAGCAGAATAAATGTATTATGAATTGAGTTTAATTTACATCAAATATCTAGAAAGGTAAGTAGAACATGTTTCAAAGTATAAAGATATCACATATCATCACCGAGTGAACACTCTCAAATGTTTTATAACACCATTAAATCATATCAAACCATCCAATAGATAGTTACCTTCATATGTAATTTATAAATGAATCATCCTTTGAATAAATCAGGAAATATTTTCAGTATCAACATTACTAATACCAAAAATGTAAATGTAATTTAAACTTGGCTTAGGGAAAGAACTACATGAAAGACTTGTATTCTTTTTTTTTTTTTTAAGCTATTGCTAACAAAATTTTAGTGCATCCTAAAGCATATTTTGCCAAGCAAAATAATATTCTGAAATAATAAAGGTCTGAAATAATATTCTGAAAACTCCTTGTCAAAGGTGTCATTCACTTTCTTTCCACAGTTGGCAGGACAATTTTAAAATGGGTAAGCAAAAGAATTCAGTTCATTGCACAACACAATTTTAACAGTTCTAAAGACATATTTCATTAGGACCAAAATGAACAGAATGGCAATATTACAATGTTACCATATAAATATGTCAAAACCAATTTGTAATAAAATAAGACACAGCTATCCTCAACACAGCTGTTCTGAAGACTGAGCAACCAAACAGATCTAGAGTGTCTCTGGAAAGTCACAAAGTGCTTTTAAAGAAAGTTTAGACTGTACTTAATTAAGAGATACTGCTCTATTCTCAAACATTTTCTCTCTATATAAGTATGCTGAACCCACACCTCTTTTCACACCTATCAATAGTTAATATTTTCTCTATCCTCCTGCACTGAATTGATTTAAGTATGGAGTTCCACTATTATTACCACACATGCTAATACCTAATGATTGGCCTGTCATCAGGTAATTGTTAAATAGAGGAACTCTGAACCCAGCACAGCTCCAGCAAAAAAAAAAAAAAGAAGAATATGAGGAAACCTTACTTCAAAGTGATTATTCTATTAACAGAAATAAGCATTTTCAAACAGTTTTACAAAACTACACTATATTATCATGTTATTTTAAAAGAAATTCAGAACTCAGTTTTGCTGTTAATCAAACCCATACATACATCCAAATTACTAAATCAATTTGAAAGTTACTTGTAAAACTGCAATCTAAACTTGATAATCAACTAATCTACCTTACAGTTAACAAAAGCAAACATTCCTGGTCCTAACATTTAAAACTCAATCCAGTGCTGCCTCAGACAGAAACAATTCTGGTTATACATTTCCTGCTTTTTCATCTTTAAAAATACTTGAAAAACCTTTAGGAAAATTATGTTTAAAGCCTCCCCTGTGTCTGTTATTTTAAACTGAGAAAAACCAAAGCTTACAATACAACCTCAAAATATTTAAATAGCTTTTGGCATTTTTCTTAAAAAGCAAATTTGAGTCTTTCATTATAAAACACATTTCTCTACCATATTTTTTAATTTGAATTAATGTAAGTGCCCTGATTTCCTACTCCCTGGCAGATGCTATGTTTTCTACAGCTTCCAGAACTGTCAGTGCTCAGGACAAAAGAAAATGCAATGGAACAAAATTAAAGCCCCCACAGAAAGTGACTCACCCTCAATTACAAAATCCACTAGTAGAAGAACCCAAAACTTACACATACTAACACACACATACAAAACCAAGACATAATCTCAGTCCTCTTATTCATGTCAACTTGCAGTTTTTGAAGACAAAGTATTAGGAAATGGAGAGCCCAGAAAAATCATGTCAAAACTTTACAAAACAGTAGACATATTTCATTGAAAGATGGAAAATCCCCATTTTTCTAGGAAAAAAAATAATTCCTGATAAAGGAGGGAGTTTTTTAAAAAAATTCAACAATGAAAACCATTATTAGGCTCCTCTGAATGTATTTCCATATTTAACATTAATTTTAAAAATTTGAATGTTTTGCAACCTTAACCTCAATTATAGAATAAAAGACAAAAATTTTTACTGCACAATCTTCATAAGCATTTTATTTTGAAGCACCTTTTTAATGTTAAATAGGGTGTTTCTAACTAAGAAAAAAAATAAAAAATAAAAAAAAAAAAAGAAGAAGAAGAAAAAAACCACTGGCAAGATTCAAGTTCTCCTTTAAACACACACACAGATACTCACTTTCATGCCAGGACAATCTGCAGCACTGGCAGATAATGTCCTTTGATGGAAGGCTGGGAAAACTATAGTTTTTGATGTTTACAAAAACCTAAGACACTAAAGTTATTTACTAAGAAATTAAAATTTGGGGAAATCAAGAAACTTCTAATAGCTAATCTATGTTAATAAAACTGATTTTTAAAAAAGCAGGACCAAAGCCTATGAATCTACTGAAATCAAAAAAGGCTCAATTTTACTTTTGATGTCAGATAGTCATTAGTCAGATACCATTTGTATGCAAAAGAGCAAAACTCTCTTTATCATGGAAACTCCTCCTCAGCCACCTCAGTGTAGTTTCAAGCAGCACTGTGTGTATGCAAAAAGAATGCTGTTAGACAATGCCCCGAAAGCCTCCCAGTTGACCTTCCTCCACATACACGTTCTTAGGGTCCTAACACACTACACAACCATACAGAATAGGTGAAGATAATATTTTGACAGAGATTACAAAAGTATGAACTATATACACTGTGAGGACAGAAAGCACTTAAAAGCTATATTTACTTTCCTCCCATTTTACTTAAAACGTTAATATTAACTACTCAAATTTTATCCTAAGTATGTTTATCTGTTTCTTCCCCTCCCAAAACAAATAATAAAATATACTGTTTGGGGATTTGTTCTATGCATTTTCCAAGAGCCAATCAAACAGAGACTTGCATCTCTCCTCAGTGGAAGCCTTTTCCACCACTTCGTAGTATTTAAACACAGCCTGCAGGACGTCTCCCACTTTCCATCCTTTTTCTTGTAATCGTTTTGAAAGCTAAGAAAGACAGATATGTCAAAAGTTAGGAGAAAATAATTTTATAACAAAGTTTTTATTTTATCATTAGATAAAACAGAATTCTACTGCTTCCAACTAAATATTGTTTCCCAGTTATACTAAGATCTTATCCTCTAAAGCACCACCCCTTTACCCAAATTAAACATTACCCCTTCCTGCCCTTTATAAATACATCTCTTCCACAGAATGAGACTGGGACTGCTTGGAGACACAACTCCACAAACCTCACCCCAGGGACAGTCTGTGTGGGAGTGCAGAGGCTTACTCTCTACAGGAAATTCTTCACCTAACTAAATACATCTGCCACAACCTTAATTAGGAACATAAAATAATAAAGACAATGTCAAACTTAATAAAAGGATGTGGATTTTCCTTCCACAACATATAGTATGGTTTTATTCTGGAAGACACACTCCAGCCTCAACGGAAACAAGGTTTTCTAAGAAATGTTAATGTCTCTACACAAAAATAAATAAATACAGTTTTAAATAAACTCTACTGAGGCTAATCAGAACATGACTTCATTTACTTCTTTGTCTATTTACTCTATAAATTCTTAAGTTTTGAAAGATCAGTAATTTAAATTTTGAAAAGCTACTTTAATTTTCTGTAAGTAAATATGCTTATCCTTTTTTATTTTTAAGTTGTTGGTGGACCTTTTTAAAATTTATTTATCTATATGTGGTACTGAGACTCAAACCTAGTGCCTAACACATGCTAGGCAAGCGTTCTGCCACTGAACCACAAACCCAGTCCCATATTTATTCTTTTTTAAAAAACAGCTTTATTGAGATAGAATTCACATACAATTGTGTTTAGTATAGTCACCAAGAGGAATGCAACTATCACCACAATCAATATTAGAACATTTTTCCTCATCATATCAAATGGAAAGTCCTACCTGTCAGAACTTACTCCCCATTTCTTCCTAACCCCCTCTATCCAAGGCAACCACTAATCTATTTTTGGCCTCTGCAGATTTAATCTACTTTGGGTATTTCATATAAACAGAATCATAAATTATGTGTGGTCTTTTGTGACCATCTTCTTTCACTTAGCATAATTATTTTAAGGTTCTACCTAAAATGTTTAATGAAATGTTTCACTATTTCATTACTTTTTATTGACAAATAATGCTCCAATTCGTGAATATATCACACTTATCAATTCAACAGTTGATGGATACTTAGGACATGCCTACCCTTTACCTATGTTGCTAAGGACATTTGTGCACAAGTTTTTGTGTGGATGTATGTTTTCATTTTTCTTGCACATACACCTCGTAGTAGAAATTGCTGGGTAACATGATAATAACTGTATTCAATTTTCTGAGGAACTGTCAGGATGTTTTCCAAAGCAATTACATCATTTTAGATTCTCACATCAATATATGAAGGATCTAATTTCTCTGCATCCTTGCCAATTCTTGTTATTACCTTTCTGATTATATTCCTCCTACAGGGTGGGAAGCTCACAGTGGTTTTGATCTGTGTTTATTTACCTAACAGCTAATGAAGCTGACCATCTTTTCACATACTTGGCCACTATAATTCAGATTCTCTGCCCATTTATTAATTGGATTATCTGCCTTTTTTTATTAAGTTATAAGAATTCTGTATATATGTAGGTAAAGACTGTTATCAGACATATAATTTGCAAATTTTTTTCCATTCTGTGAGTTGTCTTTTCACTTTGTTGATAAGTGTCCTTTTAAGCACAAAAAAGTTCTTAATATTGATCTATTTTATCTTTTTCACTTATGTAAGTGGACTTTTATATTTTTTGTTTCTATATGATTATCTCTTTTTCTATTTATGCTTATGGTAATAATGTTTGTTTGTTCTACTTAACAGTGTAAATATCAGAATTACTAGTATATCATGCATAAAGACACAAAATAAAGTATTTCTATTATCCTCATTATCATCAAAGATATTCTGTACTTGCCTCTTAACTGCTTCAGCTTTTTAAAAAATGTATGCCTACCTGCTCAGTTCTAACAATTCTCCTACCCATACTTTCCCCTTGATAATTCATCTCCTGAGCACTCCTTTCTATCCTATTTTCTCTTTCTGCTCCAAACAGAAACCTACACTGAAAAAGTCTACTGTAAGTAAAAATTATGACAAAATACACACATAAAAAAAGTATGTATATAATGTCTTCTCAAATACTTCTTTCTCAACAATATCCTCCTAAATTCTGAATCAGAAAATAAGAGTAACTGGAGTATTCCGTTTTTGTTATTATTGATCCACCTAACTTGGTTATTCACTAGACTATTTTACACCCTATAAAATTAAACCAAAGTTTTCTATTTTTTTTAAATGTTGGTTGTTCAAAACATTACATAGTTCTTGATATATCATATTTCACCAAAGTTTTCAATAAAGACAATTATGGAGGGAAAAAAGTCCTTAAGACTGTAAACAGAAAATCTTGATGAACAAGTGCTTAGCACATACTAAACACTCAATAAAAATATCTTATTTAAAATTTTATTGGCTTTTGAAAATGAATACTCGGGAAACTAGATTATCAGAGAAAGAATCTTATTAATTATTAAGAATAATTATGAATCAAATACAGAGAATAACTCAATCTTTCATAGGAACCCATAAAATGCCTATCAATGGCATGTTAGTTGGAGAACTTAGTGCATGCCCAGCATGAAGCTAAGCATTTTGCTTTTTACAGTTATTATATTAAAATTTTGCAAACCCTGTAAGGTAGATTCCATACTTAAATTTCCATAGTGCAACTAAGGAAACTGAAAATTAGACTGGTTAATTTCCCCACAGTTATATTGCTGGAAAGTAGCAGAACTGACACCTGAACCCAAACTGCCGACTCCACAGCCTAAGCATATAATCACTTTGCCAACAGGTATCTTACTAGACTAACAAGATGACAAGAACATTATATACTGTCAAATGTATCCTCACAACCACTTCATAAGGTAAGTACTTACTAATACAAACTCCTTCTTTGAAGAATCATGAAAATAAAGCTCCGCAACTTCAGCCTCAGAAGCAACAAGCCACTGAAGAATAATCCTCAACTGGGGGTCCACTGTGCATGGCTCCATGTCAATGTTTGTGATTAGCAGAATCTTTCCATCTTGCTCCAAACCTAATACATTTAAACAATATGAAGTGAAATTCATCAATTCAACTCATAATACTTTGGTTTCCAAGTATATACAAATATATTTCAATGAATGCTTTTCTTATCCGTACCATACTATCAAAAAAATATTTCTCTGAAAGGGAAAAATGATGCTAAAACAAAGGAATAACTTTGATCTTTTAGTGACAGCACAAATGTGAAATACTATTGTAAGGTACTGAATTCAAATACTATATATGTCATAATTTATGTCAAATTATGACTCACAGGTAAAAGGAGAGAAAATAAAGCTATCATTGCAATCAAAATAAACATGAAACAGAAACAATCTGAAAGAAAAGCAGCAAACCGTGATATAACATTATATCCTAAGTACTATTCTAAATTTTTTTTATATATAAACTCCTTTAATCCTCACAAACACCCTATGAAGTATCATCACCTTTATTTTACAGGTAAAAGTAAGTTTTCAGGCCAAGAGAGATCCAGACTCTTACAATGTAAAACGACTAAGCCAGGATATGAACACTGGCAATGTGGCTCCACACTCAATCACTTCATTCTTTAGGCAAAATAGTGTTTGTGAAGTGGGTGGGAGATGTCATATGTAACCACTTAAATCCCAAAAGCCAGACCATGAAATTTTCTGGTATAGCCTAATATAAAAAAAGGTGCTGCTCTCAAGTTTATTTTCTTGTTTAATGACAATTAGGTTTTTAACACAAAGGTTTGTTGCCTTAGGATTTCCAAAATTTTTAATCTTTCTGTAAATCCAGAGAAATATGTCCTTTAACAAATTTGAAAAAGTTAGCTATAACTTTCTATGTAATGAGAAATACCTATGATAATCTTAAAAGCTGAGTAATGACTAACTTGCATATAATTAACCTTCTTATTTCTACCTACCCACAAAAGAAATCCAAAACAGTCTGGGTGGTGTCAAAAGAAAATTTTTAAAATGAAATTCATATTTATATAAACTTCTATCTCTTTCTGCCTAATAATTCTTCAGTAAAGTTAGTTATGCAATACTGAGAAATACTTACCACATGCATTTATACCATGTATATATAGTCTTTGGAATAATTCTGCTCACAGGTGTTACTTGGGAAAAAGTACACAACTTTTATAGACAAAGCCAATACATTTTTAGTAAACAAAAATAAAGCAAGCATTACCTAGCCTATTGCTAATTCTAAAAATACTGTTCTATGCTGACTTTATATTTGATGAGAAAAACTTTCTAGACTTCCTATAGGAAGAATGTCTAATACACAAAAGACAATAAAATTAATAATAATCTTAAATATGATGATTTTAGGTTAAAAAAGGGATGTAACTTTCCCAAAGACACTTGAAGATAAAACTGATTGGAAACTCAACAGTTTTATAAAGTACATTTCAAGAAATTCTTTTCAGCATTTTCTCAGTTTGCCTACTTCTAAAGAAAGAACAAAAATCCACTGGTTCAAACAGCATAAATATATTTTATTTATATGTGCTACTCTATAGAAGATGTTATTAGTATTTTCATTTTTCAGGAAAAATAAGATTTGGGGGCAAAATTAAACAATTATCTGAATACAACATAAACTCCATTTCAATGTGAAAATTTTCTAGATTCACAAGGCATTCTAATATATGAATTAAGGATTAAAAGCCAATGACATCTAGTATTGAGATATGTGGAACTATATTCATTAAGGAAGGCTTTAATATTTTCCTCTCATATACATATGCATGAGTATAGAACTGGAATTAAAGAATAAATAATTACCGAGTCACTTAGAAGTATCTTTTCACTTTTACTTATTCATGCCAGTCTGGCATGAAACATTAGTTCTAAAAATTACCAGTTTGGAAGGAAAATACTATGAGAGTAATATGCCATAATTATACCAAATTATAACATAAGGATTTTAGATCTTTATATTTTGAAAATGACAACAATGTGGAGAGATTATCATATATTTCTTCTCAAATAATTGAATAATTCTTTAAAAATAGTCCAGTCTTAACACCAATGAGTACTTTACTAGTGGCAACCAAACAATACAAACTTTTCAAAAGGACCTATACCAGGGGCTGGGGACATAACTCAGTAGGTAGAGTGCTTGCCTCACAGGTTCAATCCCCAGCACCACACACACACACACACACAAAAAAAAACCCTAAATCCAGACAAAGTATCTGATGAAGATGCACAAATACAAACTGTAAAAGACTCCTCCAGGAAATCTTATACAAAAAACAAGCAAACTCTTTGAAAAAACAAACTGTCAGTTACCTTCTACATTGTCCTCATGATCTTCATCTTTCTCATCTTCTCCATCACTTTTTGAAGAAAATAGCAGCATTTAAAAAAAAGGGGGGGCTTAATTAATAATTAATAAACTACTTCTTGGAAATGTAAGAAATGAATGTTACAATAGGACATATGACAATTTGGAAAGGGGAGAAATGACAAAAAAAGGAAGAATTGCTTCTCACATCATTTCATGTTAAAATTTGAACTGCAAATGATGCCTAAAGTTATCAATAACCAAGAAGTCCTAACTTACCATTATGTTTAGAGCCAAGTAATTTCTTAATAAAATTGAATTTTAAATAATTTAAAGCTAAACTATTCTAATTTGATTTTAGATAATATGGCATTTGAATATTATAGAATTCATAAATAATAAAAAATTAGCACTTCTATTGGTGCCACTTACATATATTTTTAACACAATAAAAACATTTTTCTATGCTTTCATTATGTATAAAATAAAACTACATACAAAAAAAAAAAGAAAAAAGAAAAGCCAACAGAAATCCTGTAGGAAGCAAGCTCTTTTTAATGAAATAATAATTGGTAGAATGAAAAATAGCAAGCAGAGAAACACATGCACACAGTCACACATTTTGCAATTAGATGTCAGTCATGTCTTAGCATAGTTGAATTGTTTCATTAGATGTAAATTTATCAAGCAGAATCATGTCAAAATACAGGAGAAAAGCAGGTTGATAAATACTGGTACTGTAACCCACATTCTCTTTAAGAATATGACATCATGCATTAGTGGTGAAAGACTCATCAGTTTTTAAGTTTCTAGACTGGACCAACCTGTCTGATGTTGGAAAGGATAAATTGTCCTCATACAAATCTCCTTCTAAACCAAGACTGCTCCAGCTACTGCTGTTACCATTACTGCCGGAGGAAGAAAAGAACAGAGCTGAACTAGTAGTGAATAGTTAAGACCACCTTGGTTTTCCTTGGAACAGCTTCTGTCCTTGATAATTGTGCATGTCCTGAAGCTGCCACAATAGAGTAGCATCCATCCACTGAGCGGACGAGAGGTCATCACTGCTACTCTAAAGAGTACCTGACAGGATCAGAGACTCAAAAGTTTTTTTCTTTTTCCTCCATACATCACGTAAATTATTCTAAGCTTACAATTATTTTGCAAACAAAGACAATAGAATGATTTTCAAGACAGGAAATAAATGGATGATGAAATTAATTTTTATTGCTAATCTTAGGATATAATTTGTAAAAAGGTAATACTTTTCAGTTTGCATAGTTTAAAAAGAAAACAAACAAGATTAAGATTCTTTCAATTTTTTAAATAGAGTTAAACTACTGGCTTACTACAAGTTTGGGTGAGGAATATGGAGGAGACAGAATGAATAAACCAAAACATAGTCTCAAATAGATGTTGTTTTCTAGTTTTAAAATATTCTTATTATGTCAATTACCTTTATTTTTTACATTATGTGTAATTCAGTAGGTGGCAAATAACACACATTTTCTTCAGAATAAAGCTAGAATAATCAAGGCTTAATCACACTTGTCTGATTCACCAGTCACTGATACCACATTCAGATAAATTCTTACACTACCTAACCAAAAGAAGAAGAAAGCAACTATATTCTATAACTGCAGCAAAGCAATTTTTTTAAAAAAAGCAACAATGTTCAGAAACAAAATTAAATTCAATTTTTCAGATTAAAACCTTCAACATGCAATTTTTTAAAAATTCTAATCATTCCTAATTATTAAAATAATTAGTAAGCACATTAGTTTGCAGTGATAAGCGGCTATATCTCCTGATATTAGGCTAGGCAATTATAAAAATAAATATTAATACAAAAATGAAATTTTGCTTCTAAAGAAATTAACATTAAATCATTACATGTGCATCAGTAAATATTGACAAGGTTACCAAAAAAGGATGATTACTTAAAGTTCTAACAGTTTCCAATCAATCTCAAATAATTTACCTATCTATATTCATACTAATAGCATCAAATTGTCACAAACCATAATATATTACAGAACAAAAGTTAAAACTGAGCAGTATTTTAACATACGTTCAAACAAATATAACTCTATTATAAAACCATTAAAACAACCAAGAGTCTTATCCATGCAGTCTGTTGACAGACAAACTAAAAATGAGAAAATATAGAAATATAGAATGGACAAACAGCTGTGTGCCAGAGAAAGAGAAAATTAATGATTTCAAAAATTGTACTTACATCTATCAATAGTATTATTAAACAAAAACAAGTTACTAAATTAAAATTCTTATTCATAGCCTAATAACAATAATGCTTTCTCCATTTAATTAAAATAAAAATCTACCACCATAAGCATTAGATGAACATGAAAACAAGTAACAACTAAATAATGTAAAGACTTAAACTTCAAAATCTCTGTCACCTCATCTCCTCCACCCTTTTGCTCCTCAAAATGGGTCTGCCTTAAGATCAGTTATTTATAAAAGACTATTTCTAACTACGATGACAATATAATTTTTCATCTAACTTGGGTACTTGAAAATGTAAGAAGATACCATTAAAAATTATACCAAAACAGGAGAAATAAACCAGAACTGGCCTGAGTAAGCTGGAAGATATGATCACCCTCCATCCCAACAATGGGGAAAAAAAAATCTTCACATAATAGACTATTTCATTCTTGAAACAATTATCACTTCCATCATTTCCTTTTCTGCCTTTTCATATTTCCTTTGTCTAGAACCAGCATACTTACACTCTCATACCAATGGTAGTCAAGTACAAAACTCTTAATTGTGGCTTTCAGTCATAGGAAGTCTACTATTAATTCTATCACATCTCATACAAAATATTTCAAGAATTCTGCAAGTTCAGCCCCATCTCTTAACTAGTGTAACACATAACTTGTAACAATCACAAACCACTTGAAATATTTGAGATTACAGACCAGTTCTCTTACTAAATAATAATACAATCCTCCTAAACACATATGCAAACCTGAAATTACTGTTTCTTTAATTTGTTGTCATTTATTTTCTACCTAGAGTGAAAGTGCAAAGTGTTTATCTCCCATCTTGATCTCTGTATATAAAGGAACAGCACATAGAGCAAATGTCACCAAAAGATACAAAATGTAAAGCAATCTATCTTTAGATTCCAATGAAATCATCTAAGAGACTTATCAAGCAAGTAGATTTTCAGGACTCTCTACTGACCTAATAAATCAATCTCTGAAGGTGAGGCCCTGGAAATTATGTCCAGCAAGCACACCACCAACCCAGGATGAGCCCCACAATCTTTTTCTTTTTCCCAAATCTTAATACCAAATAAAATCATTATTAGTTTTAATAATAATGTTATTAGTTTTAATAATGTGGTCAATTGAAACATGGCCCTTTTTTTGACAAAATACTATAAAGCCAGACTTACTCCCTATATGAGTTCAAATAATTAATTTTGGAACCTAAATGTATTTACTCTTGTTAAGTATAATTATTTTAACATCAGCCTGACTCAGTCTTAATTTCATTAGTGGGATTATCTTTTCATCCTTGTTTATGAGCCATCCACAAATGAATATTCTACAGGATTGACGAACTAATGCTAAAGAAGATAAAATAAAGGATAAAACTGGTAGAATACTCCCTCTTCTCATTAAATTACATAGTTAACTTCTTTGCACAGAGTTGTTCTACTGGGTATAAATCCTCTTAGGGCCACTAGCCTCCACCAATAGTTCTTTTTTTTTTTTTTTAAATATAATAATATATTTTTATTTTTATTTTTTTATTGGTTGTTCAAAACATTACAAAGCTCTTGACATATCATCTTTCATACAATAGTTCTATTTTTTATTTTTTTAGTTTTTTAAAATTGGTTATTGTAGTTCAATGACAATAGAACTCATTTGAATTATAATTATGTAATATAAAATAATTATAAAAGCATGGAATATAATTTGTTCTAATTCGGTCCCTAGTACTTCCCCTTCCTTCCTCCCATCCCCTGTTACCTTACCTGTACTCTACAGATCTTTCTGTTACTTACTTACAGTTGTATTGTTTTTAATTAGTGTTTTGTTTATGTACATGCTAGTGAGATTCACTGTGGAATATTCATATATGTACATAAGAATGTTAGGTCATATACATTTAACTATCTCTCCTTATTCCATCTCTTCTTCTTCCTCCCTTCCCCCCACTCCCCTTTGTCTACTCCACTGATTTTTTTTTTTTTAATCCCCCTGACCTTTGTGGATTAACTTCCACATATAGTAGAAAACAATCTATCTTTGACTTTGGGAGACTATCTTATTTCACTTAGCAGGATACTCTCCAGTTTCATCCATTTACCAGCAAATGCCATAGTCATTCTTCTTTATGGTCAAGTAATACTCCACTGTGTATATATAACACATTTTCTTTATCCATTCATTTGTTGAAGGGCCCCTAAGTTGGCTCCATAACTTAGCTAACTCTGCTTCTAAAATTATCTCTATCTGCCAATGATATAATCCTATATTTAGAAGACCCAAACTTCTCCACCAGAAGAGTTCTAGAGCTCATAAATGAATTCAACAAAGTAGCAGGATTAAAAATTAACAGACAAAAATCAATCATGTGCCTACTCCAATGATGAATCTGCTTTAAAAAATTAGGAAAACTATCCTATTCACAATAGCCTCAAAAAAAAAAAAAAAAGGAAAAACCCCTTGGGAATTGATCTAACAAAATAGGCAAAGAACCTCTCCAATGAAAACTACAGAACTCTAAAAAAAATTGAAAAAGACCTTAGAAGATGGAAAGAATTCCCATGTTCTTGGATAGGCCAAAGTAATATTGTCAAAACTGCCATACTACCAAAAGCACTACATAGATTCAATGTAATTCCCATCAAAATTCCAATAACATTCTTCACAGAAATAGAAAATGCTTGAAATTCATTTGGAAAAATAAGAGACCCAGAATAGCCAAAGCAATCCTTAGCAAGAACACTGAAGCAGGAGACTTTATATTATGGGACGTCAAATGATACTACAGAGGTATAGGAACAAAAACAACACAGTACTGGCACCAAAACAGGCATGAAGATCAATGGAATAGAAAAGAAGATACAGAGCCAAACTCACATAAATAAAGTTATCTCATACTAGGCAAAGGTGCAAAAAATGTATGTTAGAAAAGAGATAGCCTTTTTAGCAAATGGTACTGGGAAAACTGGAAATCCATATGTAGCAGAATGAAATTTAACCCCTATCTCTCACCCTGCACAAAACTCAACTCTATGTGGATCAAAGACCTAGGAATTCCAATGAAACCCCACACTTACTACAAGAAAATGTAGGTCCAATATTCCAACATGTCAGCTCAGGAAGTGACTTCCTTAACAAGACTCCTAAAGTGTAAGAAGTAAAATCAATAAGTGGGATGGCATCAAATTAAAGAGCTTCTTCACAGCAAAGGAAAACAATCAAGCGTGTGAAGAGAGAGCCTACAAAATGGGAGAAAAATCTTCGCTACTTGCTCCTCAGATAACGCATTAATATCCAGAATATAAAGGACTCAAAAAACTTAACACCAAAAAACAAATAACCCAATCAATAAATGGGCTAAGGAACTAAACAGATATTTCTCAAAAGAAATACAAATGGTCAACAAATATATGAAAAAATGTTTAACATCTCTAGCAATTAAGAAAAATGCTAATTAAAACTACACTGAGACTTCATCTCACTCCAGTCAAAATGGCAACTACTAAGAATAAAAGTAACAATAAATGTTGGCAAGGATGTGGAGAAAAGCGTAAACTCATACATTGCTGGTGGGACTGAAAATTGGTACACACACCCTGGAAAGCAGCATGAAGATTCCTCAAAAAACTAGAAATAAAACCATCATTTGATCCAGCTATCCTACTCCTCAGTATTTTTGCAAAGGGTTTAAAATCAGCATACTATAGTGACACAGCCACATCAGTGTTTACAGTAGCACAAGTCATAATAGCTCTCCTATTTTAACACCAGAATTTCCTAAGCAACCATGTCAACCCACATGGAAATCCTAGAAGCTTGTGTTTCTCAAAGACAAGAGGAAAAAAATAAAATGTTAATATTCTATTCTAGATAAAGTTATGGAAAAGGGCAAACGATGATTTATAACATTGCTCCATCTGCTTCTGCCAGTTTTAAAGACTATCTTTTTGGATCTGGATTTTAAGAAATATAATTATTTCTTTTAAGAAACTATGACAAATTATATACTTTAAAAAAATTTTAATAGTGGCTAATGCAAGTAGCTAACAAAATACTCTTGAGATGCAGCGTCTTAACAGGTGAAAGGCCATTGACTCTTCTTATGCTACCTGATCCCTTCTCTGATCCTTCTCTGGTTCTTCCTTCCACCTTCCTAGTAAGTCAATTTCAAAGAAGCCTTTCAGGGTCCTTCCCACATAGAGTAAGAATGTTGAGAACTCCTCCCACTCCCCAGATTCAGCACTGCACAATATTTATTATTGCTAATTATCAGCTAATGTGGATAGAAATTTTATGGGAATTTATAGGTCAGGATACTTTTAGATAGAGGTAAGAATATAAGAAACAATTACCATAATTAAGAAAATATTTCAAAGACTGTTAAGAACAATGTTAACTAAGAAAAGTTATATATGAAGCAAATGTCAATATATAAAAAACATTTTTATAATGGGTTTATGTATTTTCAGTCTTTCAAGTATGCATATGCTTTGTGACTTTATTCCTAACAGCAGTAACAGCTTACCCTTCCCTGCAAAAATATATTAACTAATATAAACAAAATTACAGCCATATTGATGCCTTTTACAGATAACTGTCCCTTTTCCTAACCTCTAATGGGGGGGGAAACAAAAACCCTATCCTTTTTAAAGTGAAAAAGAAAATATATTACTGAAAAGTTTAGGAAAAGTTTAAAAGGCAAGAAAATCAAATATCTATATTCAAATTAACTATTGACATTATTGACATAACCAAAGAACAATAGCTCAGCTAAGTATTGTATTTAATAAGTATCAGAAACCTTTATAAACATGTTGTAAATAATAAAACACATTTTGAAAGTAATAGCGTATTTCCAAATTTAGAGTTTTTAAATAATACTTAGTGTAAATTTACAGCATTTATAACACAAAATTTTACACAATGTACACAAAATTTTAGTTACCTTTCACTCAGATGATGAAAACTGCTGCTTTCATCCTGGTGTTCATCCTCAAAACTTAAATTGGACCAGCTACCAGTGCTGTCATCACCAATACTGAGATTCATCTGCTGGCTACCAAATGACTCAATTGATTGAAAGTCCTCTATTTCTTTTGAACTAAGAAAAGAAAACAACAATAATAATAATATCACACTAAAAGCATCACAGATCTCAACTCTTAGATTATTAAACTGATAATAGAGACGACAAAAACAAGAGATGATATTTAGAGTCGGACCAGTGTGCTAATAATGAGACTTTGTAGGATAGTATATTAACTTCAAACATAACTGAGATACCCAATAATTCAGTATGAATCCATTCCTAGTCCATCATTTATATAAATTCTGTTTAAAGCAGTTTCTATTTTTCAACTGGGATACCACGAGGAGTATAAGTTCCTAAGTTGATCATCTATTTTGAAAAACAGTATTTAAGCTGTACTAAAGTAGCCTCTTTCTGGCTTTAAAAGCAAAATAAGTAACTCAAGGAATTCTAGTAGTGTCAATCAAGCCCACATTCAAACTAGCCATGAAATTTTGAGCATGGATCATTAACTCTTTTCATGCTTGTGTTCCCCCCCCCCCCCAATAAGCAGACATTTGTATTTTTATTACATCATCACAAAAAAAAAAAAAGTTCATTCATTGCTCAACTATTGTAATTGCCCCTTCTATGTATTATTCACATTATGGTAGTTTAAAGTGCTATCTAAACATAAAGAAAAAAATGTCAGTCTTCTCATCAAAAAATATTCAATGGCTTCTCACCAGACTGAAAGCAAAAGTCCTTTACAGCATACTAGCTAGTCTTTTCTCATGTCCACCTTATCACCTTCCATATCATATCCCTGGTTTACTCTACTTCATCAACATAAGCCTATTGTTTCTGAACATGCACAATCCCACCTCTTTGACAGGAACACACTTCTGATTCCCATATGACTTAGGCTGTCCTCACTTTGGGCTCTTAGCTTAAATGTTACTTTGCCAGTTATTTCTTGGCCTGCTACCTATTTATTCAAAACTGCAAGCCAACTGCAACTGTCACTGCCCACTGCCACCACTGAAACTCTTCTAACTCTTTACCTTGCTTTATTTTTCCTCTGAAGCACTGGTCACTATGGGACATACAACATTTTACTTATCTAGGGTCTACCTCATTCCACTATAGTAAACTTTAAGAAAAACTAATTTTGTGTGTTTTACTCTCTTCTATATCCCCAGTGCATACAATAGGCCCTGAAGTGCTTTCCTTTTATAGGAAAAATTCTTCTTTTGCATTTAAGATATACCTACTAGATTTATATTGGGCATTCCAAATTCAAGTACATTATAGTTCTGAATAATAACAGAGCTGTATTTTGTTCTTTCTGATATTTTTCCTGATATATGCTACATTTTTATGGAAATGACCCCCAGGCTGAGGTCCAAAGAGGAGTTTTTAATGACTGTTAGGAGATTTTGGCCCAGAAATAATAGCTCAGAATATAATCCAGATGTTTTGTTCTTACAAAAATGTACTATCATTTAGTCTCCCATTTGACATTTACATGTTACCCATGTGAACATTAAAGCTTTGTGATATACTACCATATATATTTAAAAGGAACATTAGTGAAATAACCCAAATAACATCTTAAAGACATCTGAAAAAAAATCCCACTTCAAGCTTGAAAGGCAACTTCAGAAGTAGATGTGAAATGCAAACTGAATACACCAGAGTCAATTTTTAACAGTAAGCACTTACAGAACTCTAGCACAGTTATTAAAAGAAACAGAAAAGAACCACAAAATAATATTCTTTGTAAATACCATCCTGGATAAAAAGTTGACTTACAATAAGAACTTCAGGGGCCTGTCTATTGAAGTCCTAAGAAGGTAAAGTAAAATATACTAGAGGTACCGGGGCTGGCATTGTGGCTCACCTAGCATGTGCGAGGCACTGGGTTCAATCCTCAACACCACATAAAAATAAACAAATAAAATAAAGGTACTATGTCCAACTACAACCAAAAAAAATTTATTTTTAAAAATATATACACACATACACTGGAGGTATTGGCTAGGTCCTGAGAATAATGTCTTAGAAACACTGATCTACAGAGTTCCTCCCACGAGACTGGGATAGTGGGTGGGAAGGGTTAGGAAGAGGGATAGAGGATCTTAAAATGATCTGAGGCTACTTGTTTGGGGAAAGAGGAAAGTTGAATCAATTGTTGAAAAAAAAAAAAAAAAAGCCTAGCTCACTACCACTTATTTTTAATATTAATTAACCACATATTATGTATTTATCATCTAACTAACAGGTTATCATGAACAAAGAAAATGTGGGTCTATGACAGAGGTTCACAAACTTTTGCTTTGAAGGGTCAAATGGTAAATACTTAGATGTTGTTGCCTATATGGTCTCTGGTGCAACTGCTCTACTTCCATTTTAGCAAAAATGTAGTCACCAAAAATATATAAATTAATGAGTATGGAGATATTCCAATAAACTTTATTAATGAAGACTGAAATTCAAATTTCATGTCACAAAATATTCTTTTGATTTTTGTCAAACCATTTTTTAAAATGTAAAAACTATTCTTAGCTTGTGGTCCACATAAAACTTAGCAGTAGGCCATAAGACAGCTACAGATTGTAGTCTACCAACCTCTGATCTAGGAGTCTGCCTAATTAAGGCAAACAGAGACCTAGCCTTATTGCCCAGAAACTTACAGCATCTTTCCTCCCAAGAGGATGCCACGGGACAACTGGATTCAAGAATCCTAGCCAAACAGCATCTCTATTTAAGGACAGCCAAGGAAACAGGCAGTCTTGGTCTTAAGTTGACAAAAGTTATTCAAAAAATCTGGTATACCATGTGACTCAACTAAGTTCCACCTCAATTCATTTTCTCTTTGCATTGGGGCTTGCAAATAATAATCCTGCAAACTAATACCATAGGTTAGTCCTTACATTTTCTGAGGAAGAAGGCTAAAAGTGAAAATGTTCATCAATCTGTTAGAATCACAGAGCAAAAGAGACAGCTACTAAAGGAAAGGACACAGTATGATCATCAGAACCCTTAAGGTTGTGAACTGATCAAGAGGGGCAGTGTCTCTGGTAGAAGTATTTAGAGGATATTGTTTTATTCCTCAAAACAGTTTGATTAAACCATGTTCTTCATAAGAAAATTAACCTTTATAAACCAGAAAAAGAAAATACTACACAAAAATCTAAGAGTAGTAAATTAATATGACAATAGTCTATATTTACTCTATAAAAGTCTCCAGCTATTTCTTTGACTCTACCTGCTTCATAGATTCATGAACTTGGACAAGGTGATTATCTTCTCTAACCCTCATCTTCCAGCCCTGTAAATGGACGATACCTTTCCTCAAAAGGGATCAAGAAACAAAATACATGAAAGTCGTATGTAGGATACAAAACCACACACAAATGCAATGGGAAAAATATTTCCTAATTTAGGATTAAAATAATCATACTTTCATGAACAGGATCTAAGACACACATGATCAAATTTAATTTTTTATTTCATCTTAAGAAAGGACTTACCTGCTGATGGCATGTCCAACATTCGTCATGGCTGACGTCATTATTTCTGTGGTAAGACTTTCAGCAAAGCTAATGCCATCTTGTCCAATGCCACTATCAGCTGCCAAACTGGTATTGCTCAGCTCTCTCTCTGCTTTTTCAATAGCTTCAGCAACTATCTTCTCAGCAAGCACTGTCTTTTTATCAAGATTAACATGAATTTGAGGGACATCAAGATGAAAAATTCTAGATTTTCGATAAACGTTGCTAAATTTTGTATTTGAAACTGGCTTATTTGTAGCATATGAACCCTGTTTGGAAAACTGCTGAGATGAATTTCCAGTACAATCATGGAGTTCTTTAAGGTCACAATATCTGCAAGCTTGATTTATAAGGGGTGACAACTTTTCTGCATAAGTGATCCTATCTGCTGACCTTGCGGTCTCAGACACTTGGAAAACTGTGGATCCTAGACTTAGCTCTAAAGTATCATCTACTACCTTTTTAGCATACTGTTCTATAGCTTGAACAATATTCTCTCCACATCCATATCCACTTAAGCTATCTGTACTATGGTAAAATCCATGATTTTGTGTCGAAGGCTGAAGAGACTTAGGAAACTCTGGTTCAGTAAGATATTCAGTATCTTCAATACATCCAGATTTTTCAAAAAGGCAAGAATCTGTTAAGGATTTTGGCATGTCAATTGTAGGTGCTATCAGCTCTTTTTTAACATCTCTTGTTATGCTGTGAGCAAGAGAGGCCGAAAAACTACAGAGTTCAGAGTGCTCATTTCTACATGTATCCTGGGTCCTTTCACAACTTTGATTTTTACAAAGGTGACCTCCGTTTTTTTTTCTTTGTACTTTTTTATCTACTTCTTCATGGTACTCTTTATTTGAGAATATTAACAGTTCGTTGCTGGTTTTCCACTGTGAGCTTTGCAGAGGGAACATTTTTGAGTTGTACTTCATTTTAGCTGTCTTGGCTGCTTCACGTAATCCTGACTTAACAGATCGATAAGCAAGCCTGTTGGCATACTGATCCATTATTAACTCACCATTCCCACCTTCCTGTTTCAGTATTTGAATAACATGACCTGCATATTCATCTGTCACACTTTCACAGCTGGGATACTTATATGTCAGACCTGGCATACAATAAGTTGGTGGTAATGAAAGAATAAATGAATCTGCTTCTCTTGGGTGTGCTAAAACCTCAGTTTCCAACTTCTCTTCCAATTTATAATCTTGGTCTCCATCAATATGACAACTATTCTTCTTCTGCCTGAAAAATACACAACTTCTAACTTTTGCTATTTTCTCAGCTTCTGCAATGACCTCTGCTGCCATATCACCTGCAAAATTGCAGGTCTGTAAATCTGCATCTGAATGACTTAAAAGAGTAGGTGATATAATCTGTTGACTCTGTAAATTTAAGCAAGGACTTTGACCCTCAGGTTCTTGAGTTATTTTATGATCCAAATGAGAGGCTGCCATTTCAGTTGCAAGAGAAATGATGTGGGTAGCTAATGCTTCTGCAAACTGGACTTTCTTCCCTGAGTGCTCTGACTTCACATCCGTTTCTGGATGCTCTTCACCTTCACTACTTTCAACTTCTTCTGAAAGAGATCGCATGAGTTTCAACATGAACTCTTCTTTTTCTATAGTATTTTGTTCACTTTCAGACAAACTACAAACAGATGAGTTGTGAGGTGTAGAAGGTGGTGTAGCCGGTGCAAATTCTTTGGCTAATTCCCCCTTGAGCTTTTTGGTTAACTTCTTGATATCCCACTCAGAACTAGCTTGAGATGGTACCAGAGGAGTTGATGGAGGAGTATCAGGTGTTACATTTCTGTCTCTGATTTTCTGTTTATCTTCAACATGCAAACCATCTGCACAGGTAAGGACTGTAGAAGAGAAACTTTGTGAGTTGTGAAAAGGGCTTTCCTGTCCAAAAGAAAAGGCTTCAAGTGCTGTATTATTCGAATTATGCTTTTTTATTGGTTTATCCCTGGCAGGTTCCTTCATATCAGGTTTTTGACTTGCCATTATTGTACAAGGTGGTAGAGCTGCTGAAGAAAATCCATGAGCCACAGATTCTTTATATTCTGGAACACAATCCTTTCCAACTGAAACTGAACAGTGAGATAAGTGATCTTGAGTCTCAAGACATTTGGGGAACTTTTCTAAGGTTAACTTTGATTCTTCTTCTGGAACAATCAAGCCTTCCTTATGTACTACATTTTTATCTACATTTGGGATCATTGATTTGCTTTTATCTATGGAATGTTTAATAATAGATTTAGACAACTGTTCAGCAAACACATCCTTATTGTTAACTTCACTCTGTTGGGTTGCTTGATCACAGTGGGAAAAAGGAGAGATTTTTCCCTTCATTGTTTCAGTTAAATAATCTGTGTGTTCATCAATTGCTTTTGTAACATCAAATGATGTCATTGACTCTAAAGTTTCATTTACTATTGTATGCACCATTGCTGCAGAGAAGTTGCGAATAATCACAGGATCAGTTGTTAATTTTGAGGAACTTTGCATTTCAACATCATGAGTTGGTTTACAATCATTTTGGTCACCCGGATTGTGTTCTGAAGGTAAACAAATATTTCTGAGGCAAGCTACTTCTTCTTTGTGTTTTGTAGCAACATGTGCTTGCATAGAATCACCATTTAAATTACTTTCACCAGATGACAGTTGAGACTTTGCCTGATATAAAGTAGAGGAAATATGATATGGGAGAAGGGCACTTCCTGCCAAGGGCACTGGTATGGAAGTGACAATTCCTGAAGTACAAAACAAGGCCTGCTGCACTGTATACGCCTTTTTATATTCCTGCACTGGTTTTGTCACCATAATTGCTTGATTGTTAAAAGATGGGGAAAATGTGAAGGTCTGTGTTGATGGTACTACACTTTCTGCACTCACATACTTGATGTTATCTGTAGATAAACTAACTGCTGCCTTTGTTGTGAAAGGCACATCAACTTGTGATAGCTCAATGAATGCTTCCTGTATTACAGATTCAGACAAGTCTTTTGCATATGACTTCACTATTTTGTTTTCAAAGTCAAATGACTGACACTGTGGAGATGTAGGTGTTGGAGAATATGAAAACTGACACACTTCCATGATGCCTTCAAAAACAAGCTCTTCAGCAAGATCTGCAGCAAACCTAGCAACTGTGTTTGTAAATATCTGCTTCTTTACATACTGTAAATCTTTTAAGGCATTTGATAAGGCTTCATTCACCAAAAAACTGGCCAGGCCACTAATGGCACGTTCTTTCAGCGAAAATGCACGCTGCCTTCTCAGTTCATTAAATGCCATCTGAAAAACAGATGATGTCAATTTGATGGCTAAATGGCACAAGACATTGGTACATGAAGAGACTCCTTTCTGTAAGTCTTTAAATGCACTGCCAAAACTTTTTTCCACCAGATCTGATGCAAATCTCTGAATGCTATCTTTAATCACTGAAGATTTATTTTTAGGTTTATCTTCATGATCAAGGCTTCCATGCTTAAAAGGCACAGTTTTACTTTCTCCTCTTTCAGTACTATTAACGTGTGACATTGAATCAGAATGTTGGGCATGAAGAACTGAGCCTAGTACTTCACATGAAATGTTATCTGCATAATCTTCATAGGTGTAATAAATAGAATCATGATTTTCATGAATCCTATCTCCACCACTATCTGTTTGACAAAAACATTCAGCAGGAGTACAGCTTCCAAGAGGACTAAAAGCGGAGGATCGAATAGGGCTAAACAAACCACTATCTTCCCCTGATGCCTTGACAGGGCGAGGAGAATCTGGAGTATCACACAGGTTACCATATGGAGATTCTGGTTTACGAGGAGTTGGTTTCCTAACGTTAGCTGGAAGATCTGGACAATCAAACTTGAATTTCTGAGGATTCATACAAGACTTTTCATGTTTATGTCCTTTCTTCTGAGATGACTTCCCTATGACAGGATCTTTTATAAATACACAAGAAGTCTCTGAAGTTTGTTCTAGTTCATCAAACTGATCAAAACTATCAAAAAATTCACTTACTTCTGAGTCTGAATCCTCTACATCATCTTTCATCACAGGAATTTTAGGCAGCTCAAGTTTTGCTTTTAAACTTTTTTGATATCCCTCTTCATCCAAGAAAATAACAGGACTTGGACTTGAGCATTCAGATTCAGATGAATAGGCAGGAGAAGAAGAAGAAAAAAACGTTTTCTGGGTATCACTACCTTTGTCTGAAGCATTAGATGACCTATAGAAACTTCTTTGGATCCAAGGCTCTGAAATTGATGTTGTGACTGAAGTTTTCACAGAAGGTGGTTCTTTCTGTCCCAGAACATTTATTAAAGAAGATGAGGGTTTAGCCAATGACTTCTGCTGTCCAGAGCTAACCATAATCTTTAAATCACGGGGTTCTAAGTGATGACCAGAAAGAGTCTGAGAAGCAGCATCACACTGGCTCCTCAGTGTAGTAATGTTTATTCCTACAGGTAAAGAATAAAATGATTAAGTTATTCTAGAACAGAACTCTTTAAACATTTAAATCAATGGAATAAATTGGCATTAAACATGAAATGTTTATTTGCAATGTAAGTGTTCTGTATACTATGTTGTTAAACAGAACGATTCATCTCAAGTAACACATGAAAGCAAATATGCCTTTTACTAAAATAATTTCATTTTATCCTAAGGGGATACCTATTCTTAGCATACTATCATGCATGTTAGAAACATTACTACAGTGACTCTGCCAGCTAACTCTTCTACCATTTGAATATCGCCATGTTCCAGACACTGGGTATTGAGGTAAATAGGGTGTGAACAATATTACCTTAAAAAGAACAGAAATCGTAAAAGTAAAAACCAGGTAAGAAGGAACCTAAAAATCTCAGGGAAATTAATTCTTCTGCAACTAAAAAGAAGTTAGTATGCTTAAACTGGATCAAATTTCAACATAAATTTCAACCAAACAAGTGTGCCTTAAAACTTCCAAAACTGAACTTTTGATTCCAATCTACTACTAGGAAAAAATGTTCAGTAAAAAAAAACAAACCATCATTATATAGCTTTGAAGTCTCTTCTTCTTCTAACTGCTCAAAAGCAGTGACAAAGTCATCCTCTATGGAAGACACGGACTGGTTAGTATCATCATCATCTTCATTAGTGGTCTCAAGTTGGCGCTTCTGATGCAAGTATGTGTCCAGGGTGTATCGTATACCAGTAGCATATTTACTTAGGAGACTAAAGATAAAATCGATTCTGAGTCTTGGTAATGTAGGTGACACTCTCATGACACAAAGCATTCCAGAATGATGACTCTTGGGAAAGATCAAAAGTGATTTTTTAAAAATTTAATTTTAAACACAAAACATTACCTGGAAGTAGAGCCTAGAAATAATACAATCTCAGAAAACAAACAACAACAAAAACCCAAGAAATGTATGACTGACTCCCTGGACAACGTTTAATTCTTTTGTCTCTTCTTTAAAATCTCATTTACTAATCTCTTTTTCTACCATCTTCCTCTATCTATGTATTCAAATTCTACCCAGTCTATTTCCATAAATGTTATAAGACCTACCATCTGTCCACTCACCTGTCTCACCAGTTTATACTGTAAACTGCTTGAGGGCAGCAGCCAGTTTCTATTTTACTTTTTATCCCATTTTCTCATAGATGGCAGAATAATGCTACTTTCCCTATCACAGTTAAAAAACTGTACCCTCCTTTTACTTAAATTTCTCTAGTATTAAAACTTAAGACAATGTTTACAGTCAAGATTAAAAGTCCCAAACTTTCCTTCATATATTATCTTTAAAAATGCAAATACTGACAAATGATTTATTATAAAAAGTAGAAACCAAATAGAATAGCTAATATCCTTATATTCTAGCAAATAAAGAATATAATTAAGGAAATGAGGCAAACAGTTCTATCCTTTATCAGTAGATCTCATAAAGAACACAGCAGTATTTTATACCTAGAATACGCAATCCAAATTTTAAACTTACTGGTTCAATTTTAAATGTTTTACCTCCTAAAATGCAAATCATTTTTCCTTGATGCATTATCAACAAAACCATTATTTAGCAATGAATTAAGGTTAAGTATTATGAAATTAACCACCTGGCTTAGTGGTATAATTTTTTTGTTTATAATAAAAAAATATATAGGATCATGTGTACACTTTACAAGGATAATTGTGAACTAAAAAATGAGCTGAAGTACATTCACTATAACATATAGCACGATGTTTATATAAATTTGGAATTGGCCATAAAAAAAATCATGCTATGGTTTATATAAAGGAAGAAACTATAGAAATCCATAAGGAATGAATTTCCATTAAAAAATTTGTACTTGCATATCACTATGAAACTTCACAGATATAAAATCTAATTTATAAGCTACAACCAAAATTACTGATTCGGGGACAATAATGTTTCATGAGTTCAATTTCTTACAAATTCTATTTCCTTGAGATAGCAAAAACAAAACAACAACAACAAAATCATCCAATAAAGGTTTTATACTCTTGATCAAATGTAGTAAAATTTGCCCTGAAAAAAAATAATTAGAAATGATCTATAAAAGTTACCTGATTTAAAAGACCACTGCTTATATCTGATGATTTATTTATATCCTTCATACAAATAATTTCATTTTCATTTAGACTGCAGAAGTGAAGTGAATTCAGAAGATCTGGAAGTTCCAAAGAAACTGCAGCTAAATCCTAATTTAAAATAATAACAATATATTAACTGAAAGAATAACACTTTTATAGTTCCTAAAATGTGATCTCCATCCCAAAATAGTAAGGTCTATTGGTTATAAGATTTACATACACAATTTATATCCACAGACAATTTTTTAAACTAAAAAATAAAATATGAAATTATTTAATAATGGCTATTCCTGCAGCTTTCCAAACATATAGCTATCGAGCTATAAAACACATTTTAACATGGTACCTCACACATCCATGACAATTAGGCATTTAATTGTTTTTAGCAAATTTTAATCTATTGTCCTCAGATTTAAATCTAGCATTTTTCATACAGCATTCTTGGCTATCAAATGTACTTCTCTTCAGAACTTAAGTTTTAACTTTATAAAACACAAGTTCATTTTTCTGTCTCTCCTCTTGAAGGTATTATATTAGCTTTGTTTTTTCCTTCACTTTTTTACATAAATATTTTACCTAGCTAAGAATTATTAAAGTCTTTGACCTTTAAAGAGCACTTTGCTTTGCAAACATAGCTTTATCAGTAACTCTCAAAGACAAGCATTAGAAAAATACTTTGGAACTTTTCTCTTTCCAGGCATATGTTGTCAGAAATAAGTCCTCTCTGTTGCTTCTATCCAAACAATTTTCTTCCAGCTAAGGCAATAAGACATACAACAGAGTTTTTATTCTTAATCACCTGATATGTAGTATTCTAAAAGAATTGAATAATGTTATTTCTTTCTCTAGTAGGAGATACTTTAGCATCACAAGCAAGCACAAATTTTCAAACTGCAGGAAAAAAATAGTATATCTGCAGTAGCTTCAACCACGTTTTATGTAGCTATGAAGCCTTTCTTTGTTGATTTTAATATCCCCTACCAGTCCTTTTATATTTGCCTAAATCAAACAAGCTCAAATTTTTGCATTGGTTAACTGTGACTTTTTATAAGTTTTACATTTTACATTTAACTAATTCAACTAAAAATACAAGAACTTTACTGTTGAAGTCAAATTATGAAAAGCAAAGAAAGAAGTGTCACATGCTATATAACACAAAGAATGAAGAAAAGGTCATCCTATAGTTTGCATTCTTTGAAGATAAATGCCTTCAGTAGTCAAACCTAACGTTGATTTCTAGACCAAGAATTATCAGTAAAAATGTTAAATGTAAAAATGCCCAAAGCACACTAAAAAACTGACCTCAAAATATCACCTTTTAACTTTAAAAAGGAATGATATCAGAACTTAGTGTATATATTGGGCATTATGGTCAATGTTTTGTGGTCTCAAAATTTATTCCAAACAATCTCTCACAGTCCTTTCCAATTCTTTAAGTTGACCATACCTGTATATGCGCAGCATCTGTTTCTTCATTAAATCCCAGAAATGTGACCTTTATAAAAGAATAAGAAATAAAATGGAAAAAAATCCATTAATTTGAGTTTTTAAGTCTTGTCTCAGATTGTTGACAGAAATATAGACAGAAAAAAAAGCATAGTAAGGCATTAAAATGCTGACTTCCTTGAACAGAGTAATTTTTCAAGGATGATCCAAAAGGTTTTCCCCTAAAGATTTGGCTCCATACTGCAGTTCGTGAACTTCATAAAACACTTCCCTCAAACATATTTCAAATACTCACTTCTTCCCAATCCTCCTGCCACTCTTCACCTGTACTATTATATTCCTCTCCCATCTGATTCCCGCTGTCACACAACATATCCTATCAAAACTCTTCCATGCTTTCAAGGGGAAAATCCTAACCAGGGTTAGTTTATACCTTTAGCTTTCCCTCATTTTTATTCAAACACATGGTCCCCTTATCTGGGTCGGGAACTACCCAGTACATCCTTCCCTAAAGTTCTCAAAATTGTGTACGCTTGATCTGGATCTCTCTCCCTCTCTTGGATATTTACATGCCTAGCTCCTCCTCATTCTTCAAGTTTCAATTAAATGTGATCTTCTCAGAGAGGCTTTCCCTGAGTAGACCTCCAAGATTGCTTCCTCTAGTACTATGCATGATACCATCATTTATTATTTCTTTTAATGCCCTTATACAGAGATTATTCTGTAGAAGTTTAAATAAATTAAATTTCTAAGAAATGTCTAATGGCATGAGAAAATGCCACATTATGTTACAGAAAAAAATATATTTGGTACACAATTTTAAACTAATTTTTAAAAATATATGCATGAAAAATAATACTGGAAGGCAACACCAATGATTAAAGATAGCAGGAATCACTGAACACACTATTGAATGTCCAATGAGTGGTTAATAATATCTATAAATTTAATTACATGTGCTCACTATGATACATTAAGACAATTATGTTAGCCAGTATTTAAAACAGGAACTTTTAATACATGAAATAATATGTAGAGATTTTAAAAATAGGTCATACAGTTCTACAAAGATGATGGAAATACATTGAAGTTTATTAAGGTTTAGAAAGTAGTAGGTCAAACCTCAGTTAAATTGGCATGTTCATTCTGCTTTAAACAGTCCTCTCCTGAAATACTGCATAGTTCCTTCTCACTCTGTAATAAAGATTTTACAGACTGGAACACATCATCACTGAAGCTCTAAAGAGAGAAAAAGACATTCTTATTTAGTTCTACAACAAGGCAAGACATTCTGCAGATATTTTAATTTCAAATGGAGAGACTTCATGATCCAATTAACATTCACTTGGCACCTTTATTGTCTGCAAAACTTAATTCAGCTTAGAAGAAAAGTTCCATTCAGGTGATAAGGCTTAATAAGTCTTCCATGTGTCCAAAACACACTCAGCACACCAGAGCCTCTGCATTCAGATCACTGGCAGACTACAAAGGCCCTCACACCCCAGCTTTTATTACCTTATGCTAAAACTAACAGATTGCATATCTGATTTCCAAGTCACTGACAGAACAGATACAACAATTTCTATAATGAGCGAGACAATGTGGGAGTTATAATAAAGAACACTAACAACAGTGACTATTCCCTTAACATAGAGACAAAGAAAAAAGAGTTATTCCAAATATGGTCTTTCAGGCATCATCATACAACTGTATGAAGAAAATGAGGGAGCAGATTCCAGATTTAGGGGAGGGGATTGTCATAAGTACAAAAGGAGGAAATACTTACATAGAGAAAATGTGTATTATAATTGGCTATAAAGAAAACATTAATTTTTTTCTACCTTATTCCCCTTCTGATTTTGATCTGTTCTTCAATCAGAAATGTCCTTACTCCTCAGTCTTCCCCTATAGAAATCCTACTCATGCCAAGACCTGAAGATTTTTCTTAATCCCTTAATTATAACAAAATCCTCTCAAAGTTCCTGACACATTGTTTGCAACATTTAATCTAAAAGAAACTTTCTTAAACATTTATCCTAAATCACATAATATTATAATTACTACACTCACATATATTTGTCTTTCCTATGTATTAAATCAAATTATGGAGTCAGACTGTATTTCATTCACTTTGTTTACCCAGATTTCAAAACCTTACATATCAATATGAACCTGCAACTCCTTAAATATATGTACCACCTTTTTCCACTAAAGAGTCTTAGAAACACTGACTCTCAGTGGCAATGAGCATACCCAGTACCCAGATTTTGGTTTCTTAATCACCAACAAAAAGACCACAGTTCCTCAGAAAAATGGCCAGTTCTAGATCAGAGGTAAAGAAAGCACAATGTGAGCCTGGAACATCTAACTATGCCAGAAAATGCATGGAAGTACTCCAAGACTTAATTGGATCTTTCAAAAAAAAAACAGAAACCAGCTTGAAGGAATTCCTATTATCCAAATTTGGGCAGAGTCATAAAAAATAAAAATGGCTGGGCATGGTGGTGCAAGCCTATAATCCCAGCAACTTGGGAGATTGAGGCAAGTTTGAGGCCAACCTCATCAAGTTAGCAAGGCTCTAAGCAACTTGGCCCTGCCTCAAAATAAAAAATTTAAAAAGGGCTTGGGATATATAGAGCACCTCTGGGTTCAATCCCCAGGACACCCCTCAAAAACAAAAAGGTAATGGATTATAACTGCTAATAATAACTTCTTCACCTATGAAAACCAACTGACATACATGGACAGAATGACTAAATTAGAAAATCCCATACTAGGCACTGTGGCACACACCTGTAATCCAAGCAGCTTGGGAGGCTGGGGTAGAAGGATCAGGAGTTTAAAGCCAGTCTCAGAAACTTAGCGAGGCCCTAAACTACTCACTGAGATCCTGTTTCTAGATAAAATATCTTTAAAAGGGTTGGAGATGTGACTCAGTGGTTAAGTGCCCCTGGGTTCAATCTCCAGTACCAAAAAAAAATTTCTTAAAGAAAATTCCAAGCCTGGGGACATAGGTCAGTTGGTAGAGTGCTGGCCTCGCATGCACAAGGCACCTGTGGAACACCTAGCACCACAAAAAAATAAAGAAAGAAAAGAAAATTCCATTTGTAATCCTACCATAATTATTGTTTTAGGAAAAGAATCATCAAAGTACTCTAAATCGACTAGGCTAAAAGCTATTGGGAGCTGGGCATGGTAGCACATGCCAGTAATCCCAGAACTCCAGAGGCTGAGGCAGGAGGATTTCCAGTTCAAGGCCAACCCCAGCAACTGAGTGAGTCCCTAAACAACTTAGCAAGACACTGTCTCAAAATAAAAAATTTAAAAAAGGGCTAGAGTTCGTCTATTCCTCCCATGCTCCCACTTCCTATCCAACTGTGAATCAGCCTCCTTATCAAAGAAAACATTCAGCATTTGGTTTTTTAGGATTGGCTAACTTCACTTAGCATTATCTTCTCTTAACTCCAGGAAAGGAGGTGGCAAGGGGTTATTAATGATGGTGGAATGTGATGATCACTGTTATCCAAAGTACAGATATGAAGACACGAATTGGTGTGAATATACTATGTATACAACCAGAGATATGAAAAATTGTGCTCTATATTTGTGATATATATATATATAGAGAGAGAGAGAGAGAGAGAGGAGGGGCTAGAGACTTAGCTCAGTGGCAAAGCACTCCTGGGCTCAAGCCCCAGTACTAAAAAAAGTTATTGAGAAACAAGATACTCATACTATCTCAAACTATCACCCTACAGGTTATTTATTAATCTCATAAATACAAAGATACTATGTGCATTCATACTGGAGATATCTGGTGTCTACATATCTTGACTATGGAATCAGGTCTAGCATCAAATAATATCAAACAAACTCTATCAAACTTGATCTGATAGAATGAATGCAACATTAAGTTTTAAGGTACAGGGAAAAACAAATGAATCCAAATTTACTCAAGATTTTCTATCATAAGTAAAAAAATCTAAACCACTGAAATGGTCTAGAATGGGGGAGATCAAATACACAAAACAATTAAATACAGTGTTTGAACTTTAACTGGACCCCAGATGAGAAACAAGCAAAAAGTCAGAAGAACATCTGAGATAAGTGGAGAAATCTATGTAGGGACTATTCATTAGATGACGTTACTAAATTAATAATTTTCTTAAGAGTGTTGACATGAAAATAATGTCTGTAGAGATACTCTCATATAATTGCAAAAGTGAAGAAAGGTTGTGTACAGGCATATGTCTGCACAGGTGTGTATACTGAGAAGAGACTGGGTACTGCAAAATATTAATAGAGGATGATCTAAATAAGGAATATATGAAGTGTTTACTATACTGAGGTGTTTTCCCCTAACCTGAAAATATTCAATATTTAAACAATTTTGTTTTCATTAAAGAATGGAGGTTTTCATACTAATTTACAATCACAAAATCAAGAAAGGAAAAAATATGTAATAAGTAATCTGACCTTGAACTATCAATATAAATTTGTGTGACTGCAAAACAAAGGGCAATCCTAGTATCCAGATCTTGGTTTCTAAAGACTTTTCAGGGTTCTTTGAAAAATAGTCAATTTGAGGTCTGAGGAAAGGTGAGACTGTGTCACACAACCAAAAAGATACAACCAGAAAGTAAGGAAGCTGTCAAAAAATTAAGAACCTGAGAAAAAAAGGACACAGGCACCAGGTCTGGTTAGCTCCCAGGTATCAATCTGGGGACAGTTTGAGCACTTCAAATAAATAAATGAAACAAAAGATTGTAAAATACAGAATTATAAAAATTTATACATCCAGAGCAATACAAATAAATAAGAAAAAAATCCAAAGCAAAAATTCCAAAGCAATATAAATAGACAAATGAATGAGTGAGGGGAAATAAATTCACTTGCCACCACTGGAGGTGATAATTACATCAAGTCATTAATCTAAACATTATTAGTAGGAACTAAAGGACATTTACCCTTCCCTTACCCACCTTAGATAAACTATCTTCTCCCTTATGAGTGTTATCAAAAGAGAGAACAGAGTTGCCATAAAGAGAGAAGGAAAGCAAGAAAAACATTCTAGTGAAAGTCAAAGACTGTCTCACAGGTATGGACTGGTCAACAGTGTCATATAATACAGAAGGGTGGAGAAAGTAGTATGTCAGGTCTAACAGGTAAGGACTGGTCACCAATGTCATACAGTTCTAACAAACAAGCATGTGCCATCCTCCAGTCTCCATTTCTCTCTTCTTCCTTTAATTAATGCCCCAGCGTTTTAGCAAAGATAAAATATAAAGACATAGAAGATTAACCAAAGAGTTACAAAAGGAAGTAAAGAAGTTTTTCCTCAGACTACAAAGAAGAAAGGATCAAGGATCACATTTCATTTGGTCCCTACTAATTATCCTACATCTAGCAAAGGGGCTGACATATAATAAGTTATCAAATTCTTATTTGCTGAATGAATGAAGGAATGAATGAATGGTAACATTTTGTATCATCATCAGAGAAAAGTCAGAAGTACATAAGAAAGTTGATATCTGATACTCTATACAGAAGAGTATACCAAAGTTGGAAAACATCTGTTGAGAAGAAATGGAGAGGTTTGTGATTTAAGAAAATAATCATGATCATGATTTTATAGCATTAATTCCATACATGACAATTTTTATATTATTTTAATGTTACTAATTTAAATAAGATTCAACTAAAAACCAAATCATAGCTTTAAAATGATCAATACTTTCATTAAGGGCTGGAGATATGGCTCAAGTGGTAGCGCACTCGCCTAGCATGCGTGAGGCACTGGGTTCGATCAATTCTCAGCACTACATAAAAATAAAGATAATTGTGTCCACCTAAAACTAAAAAATAAATATTAAAAAAAAAACTTTCATTAAAACTTTCATGAAAAGGAACCTAATATAATGAACTTACCTTTCTGACAGATGCTCTTGTCTTCATATGACTGTTTCTGAAAGACTGGAAAGTCGCCATACCTATATGACTATTATACGTAATTACTGAAGAGTAAATCTATTGAACACCTAAACAAAACATCAAAAGAAAACTTATTTATTGATCTTAGTAATGCAGGCAAACATTTTGTGCTAAAATAATTTCTTTAAATTCAGTCATTTAAAGAAAAATAAAAACAAAAATATTGAGCCCTAAAAATGTATTCAGCAATCCAACATATATATTTGACAAATAAGTGATATATGAAATTATTACAAAAAACTCCTATTTTTCAACTGTAAAATTATAGTATAGTTTACCCTTTTCTGATCCATTATCACTGTCCTTTTGAACTGAAAAGTCACAATAAGAATTATTTTTAAAACCTTTCAAATCTTAAATAGCATCATAAAAAGAATCCCAGCTTCCCTGCCTCCTAAAAGTCAACCTCATTTCTACATCAACAGTGAATGTTGCAGACATTCTTATCTCAGGCAAAATAAGAACATGAAATCTGTTCATATAAAATCAAAAAGATAAAAACAATTTAAGACCATACCAATGACTAGAGTGCAGGAACCATCCAAGTTAAATGAGTAATAGTACTTTACACACACACACACACACACCTCTAGAAGAAACTATCTTAAGTTTTGGGGGGAGGAGGGTAGCTGGGATTGAACTCAGGGGCACTTGACCACTGAGCCACATCCCAGACCTATTTTCTTTGTATTTATTTAGAGACAGGGTCTCACTGAGTTGCTTAGTGCCTTGCTTTTGCTGAGGCTGGCTTTGAACTTTCGATCCTCATGTCTCAGCCATCCAAACCGCTGGGATTATAGGCATGCACCAGCACACCCAGCCTAACTCTTAACTTTTAAGATGCTTTATTAAAAACCTTTCAAAATTTAAATCAACTTTGGCCATTAATCATTCAGTATCTACATTTGACTGTAGGACCTTGTCCATCCATTAAGATCTACTCATGCTACACACAAAAGATATAATGGAGATGAGAGAGTTCAAAGCCTTCCAGAGAAAAAGTTTTATTATAATAAAGAGTAGGAGTAGGGAGCTGGAGCTGGAGCTCAGTGATAGAGTGCCTGCTCGCATGTGTGAGGCACTGGGTTCGATCCTCAGCACCACATAAAAATAAATAAAGATTGGGTCCACTTACAACTAAAAAAAAATTAAAAAAAAAAAGAGTAGGCATGCAAATTCTGAATAACCAGAAAATCTGAATCAATAAAGATTTAATAAACCTTAAAATCTTAGTTTCAAGTACCAAACTGGTCTTATCAAGGATTGCCCAACTGAGGTTTTCAAGACATTTGGTTAATACAGATTTATATTATGAAGAGATATATACTTATATACTTACTGGATAAGTTTACTATGAGAATCAAATGGAAAATAATTTAAGGGAAGCACTTGCAAAATATAAAATACAGGCAAAAGATAAATTAAAATATTTACCTATGAACCAGAATGATCAAGACCAAAATTATCAAAACTGAATTTAAAGGTTTATCTGAACAAAACAAGAAGATAATCTTTTCATTTGTCTCAGGTCAACTTATTATTCTTTCTTCCCACAGTGTTCTCTTCAACTACCAGAAACCTCTAGTGGCAATGGAAATGCCACAGAATTTCATATAAAAAATAAACTACAAGCCTGATGCGGTGCTGCTCGCCTGTAATCCCAGCAGCTAGGAAGGCTGAGGCAGGAAGATCTCAAGTTCAAAGCCAGTATCAGCAACAGTGAGGGGCTAACCAACTCAGTGAGACCCTGTCTCTAATTAGAATACAAAATAGGGCTGGGATGTGGCTCAGTGGTTGAGTACCCCTGAGTTCAATCCCCGGTACCCACCTCTAAAAAAAAAATAAACTATAGAGGCCAACACAAAAATTCCAGAAAAGAAGAAACACTCAAAGCCTGCTCCTGAAGAAAGTGTCACCAACCTTCTAGAAGGCGATTTTATAATAACGTCAAAACTGAAAAAATTCCTACCCTTTGGTCCAGCAATTGTTCTGGGAATTCGTCAAGGCAAATAATAATCCTGGAGCATGTAAGGCTCTAAATTAGAGTTCATAACAAATTAAATGCTTGCTGAGAGGTTTATGTTAACATCTCATTGTACACTCCTGTTTTACAAGGAGAAAAACTAAGTAAGACAAGAGGAAATTAAACAATCCACCCAGGCCCATACAAAAAATGGCAGAGCTAACATTCAAATTCAAATTTTCAAAATCCAGCTCTTAGCCATCCTCTATAGTGCATAAAGGTTTGAGAAGCTATTCATCAAACTTTATAACAGAAATAAGAAGCAATCTAGACACCAGAAACAGAAGAGGTGTTAAATAACCTTAGGTTTATTCCCACAGTGAGGTAATGGCAGCCATTAAAAAAAAACACTAAAAAAGTAATAATAATAAATAATAAATAAACAAACAATACTGAAGGATAGAGGTAAAGCACAGGTAACATCTTTACTTTCTGAGTTGAGTCCTAACCTTGCCTGAAAGAGGAGTCCAGAAAAGAGATGGAAATCAGTTATTACCTCTGCAGCTGTTGACTAAAGTCAACTGAACAAAGATAAACACTACCTCACAGGAAACTTTACCATAAAAATGACTTGCTATCTAGATGAAATGCCCACCCTAAATTGTGTCATGCCCCGGAGGCAGAAGACACACTTGTAAATGTCCTCAGTTGGAGTGTCTTAAGTGCTGAAACAACATCCTGGATTGGACAAGGCTAGCAATCCCAGTCCACTTTACCCATAATATTCCTGAATGGCAGGCCCAGACAGAATACTCTTATTCAAGGTCAAGAAATAAAGCAAACATGATCCAATAATTGGACCTATGAAGAAACATTTAAAAACAAACGAACACATTAATAAAAATCCAGAAAAATATAATTATGCCACCCCCCCAAATTCATATTATCCAATAATACCTCAGAAGATATATCACTGTTTAAAATTAATAAAAATGAAGCTAAGTTTAATTCCACATTTATACTATGCTTCACTCATGGAAGAAACACAATTTACTCCACTATTTACCCTACTCCATTACTTCAACCTAAGGTAAAATGTTGTCTCACAAAGAAAAATCCACTAGAAAGTATCTGCACAACATAAAAGCGAATCCAATATGAAATGACATAACATATTTCTAGTAAAGCAAAGAAAAAAAACCAATCTTTGGAAATGATACATAGATAAATGGAGAAGAGAAAAACAGCCAGAGCAAGATTTCATCAACGTCTTATAAATTAAGAATCTAGTTTTAAACATTGTACAAGAGGAACAAAAAACACAGTATTTTCCCCTGAAATACCCTTGTACTACAATAAACTTTTTGCTTAATTCTCATTTTATACCCTATTCTGGGTGAATAAATAAGAATTATATATGGGAAATAACTGTGTTAGCTATAACAAAATAAAAAATAAAAACCAATCTAGATTGGAAAAAAAAAAGCAGATCAGAGTCAAGAAAGTACAAAAAGCTGAAATGTGAGCTGACAGAGCTCAGGAAAGATTTAGAAAATAAAAATATTATCATTAAGCAGCTGAAATCCCCCTAGAAGCAAAAAAAAATATATATTAAGGAAAAAAACTTAATACATTTAATATAGAAAATATTTAATAGATATAAGAAAAATTGCTGAATGTAAAAGGAAACAAAGTAATTAGAGAAACAATTATAAACAATAGAGAACAGAGACATAAGGCACTATGAATAAGCATAGTTCTTTTATCCCACAACTTCACTTATAAAACTTACCATACATGTATACATGCACAAAGTTCACCAAGATATGTCAAAAAATATTTACCAAACCGGGTAAACTAAAATAATGACAGGTTCAACACAAGAAAGGACTTTTTCTTTTTTCAATGTTATAAAATGTCATCTACCTATATTATGGGAAGATGATAGATGATTAAGTAAAATATGCCTATTCTAGCATGCTTCCATTTTTCTCTTTTGTGTAAAATCTATGTCACTACAAGTGTGTATTTACATATGTAATACAAAAGAGGGCACACACTAGATGAGTAAAGACTGATTTTATCTGGGGAAATGCAATTATGGGTGTGGTCTATTGTTCGTTTGCTTTTTGGTCTGTGTGTATATCCTGTATTTTTCTGGATACACATAAATTCTTTTACAATAAAAAATATTCCCCAAATTTTCTCTCTGTCCTCTGGCCTAAGAAGTGTTCAAGTCAACATCACCTGTAACTTGACCTTTTTATATCAGGAAAATTAACCATGCCAAGAGTATAAAATACCTTTCTAGTCAACAATATTGTTTTTTATTCCCCCATACCCAGGATTGAACCCACAGGCACTTAACCACTGAGTCACATCTCCAGCCCCTTTTATATTTTATTTAGAGACAGGGTCTCCCGAAGTTGTTTAGGTCCTAGCTAAGTTGCTGAGGCTGGCTTTGAAATTGAGATCCTCCTGCCTCAGCCCCCTAAGCCACTTGGGATTATAGGCATGCGCCACCATGCATGGCAAAATTGTTCTATCTAGACTTGCCTCCTAATGCACCAATTCTCAAACTTCAGAACACATACAAATCAGCTTAGTTCTAACACTAACACACACACACAAGCACATACTCAGAAGTACAGAGTTGGGTCTACCTAGAACCCAGAAATCCATATTTTTAATGAATATTTTATATAATTTCTACTGAGAAATACATCTTTCTACCCAGACATGGGTTTCCTTCCCTACATTCTTTCAAAACTTGTTACTCCAATACTAATAATTCCTTACCTTCCATTGTTATCCTCTTTGGTTTTCATTTTATTTAGTTTTCCAAAGATATTTTACCTCTACCTCTGGTTTTAACAGTGCGAATTAACTCCCTTAATTTATATCTTCAGTTCAGCTCTGTGTTCCAGTTTTAGTTCCTTATATCCAATTTTCTATGAGACACTTCTAACTAAATATCCTTGCTACAGTTTGGTTATGATTGTACCCCAGCAGTCCATGTGTTGGGAGATTTGTTCACCAGTGCTGGGAGGTGGTGGAACATTTCAAGAAATGGGGCCTAATGGA